AAGAAGACGTTTGTGCAGAGAGTCATGACGCCAGGATCAGTATGGCAGATCATCATCGCCGCTCTTCTGGCCATTGCTATTGGTTTGGCAGTTACCACTACGGTAGACGAAGTACCAGACGCGGCCATCACGATACTTGCCATCCCAGGTAACCTTTGGTTGCGCGCATTGAGAGCAGTCGGTATGTTGCAATGAAACCTCTCTAGACGCGTGAGCTGATTATCGCAGTACTTCCAATGATCGTTACCGCAATGATTCTGGCAATCCAACGTCTGCGCAACATGACACAGGGAGGAGGTGCAGCGGGTAAACTCGCTCGCTGGACAATTGGCTACTACGTCATCACCACCATCCTCGCTGTCGCACACTCTGCCCTACTAGTCGGCCTGGTCTGGAGTAAACTCATGAACCCAGTCTCAGGGAGTGCTCTGGATCTGGACGACGAGAACAAGGAGCTTGTGGACGAAAGGAAAGAAACTGCCATCCACGATGTCGTCGAAGACATGTTCTTCTCGTTGGTTCCCAACAACATCGTCAACGCCCTGGCGACCGATGCCCTCCTTTCGGTACTTGTCACGGCCGTCGTCCTTGGATATGTCATCAAGCCAGGAGGTGCGATCCATCGAGCAGTCGAAGAAGTCGAAGTTATCGTCCTCAAGGTCATCACAGTTTTGATCCACCTTGCGCCTATTGGAGTGTTCTTCTTGATCATGCCGAATCTGTTCCGTCTCGATATTGCTGAGATTGGGACGAACCTGGGTATTTTGATTGGTGGTACCTTGGTCGGCATGTTCATCCACCTTTTCATTGTAATTCCCATCATTTTCTTCGCGATCACCAGATCCAACCCGTACACGTTCTGGATGAAGATGAGTCCAGCATGGATTACCGCTTGGGGAACCGCCTCCAGCGCTGCGACCTTGCCCGTTACCATTCGCTGTGTTTTGAAGCAGGGTATTCCCATCACAGGTCAGTCTCCATGGTTATAGGTAGTCGATCGCGATCACTGACACACAGTTAGTAACCAAGTTTGCCGTACCTCTCGGTTGTTTGATCAACATGGATGGTACTGCGATCTACTTCCCGATCGTCGTCGTATTTTTGGCCGCCACTCAAGGCATCACCTTGAACGGTGCCGATTACATCATTGTCATTCTACTCTCGACTCTCGCTTCGATCGGAACCACACCTATTCCAAGTTCGAGTCTGGTCTTGGTTGTCATGATTGCTTCCAGTGTCAACATCCCAATCACTGGAATGTACGCCGTCGTCATCGCTATTGACTGGTTCCTCGACCGCTTCCGAACTGCAATGAACGTCAGTTGCGATACTTTCGCAGCCAAGGTTGTCACGCACATAACGGGGATCAAAGACGAAGATGGTCAGTCGTACGATGAGGCCGAGAATGTCGACCCGAACTCGCTCGGACGAACAGATGACTCCAAGGTTTAGATGCTGTCTCCCCGTTTTAACATAGCGGTCTTGAAATCTCCGAATTCTTCCGAGCTCAATCTTAAGTAATGCAATCCTCTTTCGCTCATAATCAACAGCGTTCCTTCTCTTTATGATCGTGAATCAAGGTACTCATATCACGCGATCTGACAGCGTATTTCGTAAGGCCATCGCATCGACCAGCCATGTCGGCATGCCGCGTGACAAGCGGACCTCAGATTGCGCGACTTGAACGATCAGGTCAACAACACAACGAAAAGAATACGCAAAACCAAAGAGGACGTGGTGGAAGAGATGAGCAGTGCTGCAGAGCGTTTGCCGCATATGCCCTCGCTCCTGATATAGGCGCGCACGAAGTCTGGAAATGTGGCCGGTCCGGAAAATTAGCCGGCTCGGAATCGTAGTCAGTCACGAAAAATAGCCTGGACATCCCCCCTGTGGATCTGGCGGTTGTTCGGGACGGCGTAGTGCTGTGGAAAGACAACATTCGTGGGTGTTTTCGTGATGACACAGTCGAACGCTTCGTCGTGGCGGCCGGGAGGAAGCTTCGCTCCACTTCGCGCCGGATCACGGGTCTTGGCGCGTCAGCTGCTTTCCCACCTAGCCATCATTGCGTCATGAACACGAGGCACGATTGAGATGTGCCTACAACAGAAACGAACGCGTTCTAGTCGCGACTCTTACGCGGATCGGTTCTATTAAGTGCTGAGGAGATAACTGGCATGGAGGGATGGTTCATGTCGTCGCGTATGACGACGTTCTGGTCCAGCACCGTCCAAGGTACGTGTTCTGACCCCTATCAGTCTTTACTTCCCGAGGTCCTCATACGAGGGTTTGCATCATCTTATGTTCTCGTTCGAACATTCGTATACAGCTCAACGCTACGCGATAGTCAACTTTTCGTCTCTAGTCTATCATGCGACGTGGAAAGTCGCGTCGTTGCGCGCGTTGTATGGTATCGGCGACCCTTGTTGATGCACAACCCGTTCGCTTGCAGACCTGTCGCAACCTATACGAACAATATCCGGAGCAATGCACTTAAAAACACGCGGTGTTCATAGGAAGGCTTTCACGACAGCCTCGCGCCTCGCTGCTACAAGCATCTTCGCCCTTGCTGACCGCTCGCGCATCCGCCATGATGGCTGAAGAAATGATACGTAGCTTAGAGCGCCCATGGCAAACAGGACGCAACAAAGCTCATGCTTGGACTGTTGCGCTATCCGCAACCAAGAGACCTCGCCAACCCGATCAATGGCATGGCAAGAGTGCTTCCGGGTTCAAAGGGTACTAGAGCCAGAGTGATAACTAATCCTCATGCTAGCAACAATTTACTTCGGCACGTGGCCTGGAGCTCCAAGAGATGCAAATTGCTGTGAGCAATGGCTACAGGCCCGTTCTTCCACGTACTCAGTTTGCCATACTTCTTGGTAGGTCTCCCCGGATACCAATGTTCTGGAAGATCTGGTTCATGTGCGGAAGCTCTGATTAGTCCATTTGCACCAATCAGCAGCCAGATCGGATGCTTGGCTATTGCGATCACAATATATCGCGGGGAAGACTAACGCGGAGTGCAAGATGATCTCATGAGAAGGCTCTCCGTGTCCAGAGTGGTATAGCGTCAAAATGCTCAGAAACCGAAACGGTACATATGTTTGCAATACGCGTAGAAAGTGAGGAAACACACTCAAGCAGAAAGACTGATCGAGATGTTCTACGGCCTTGCTTCGCTTTTACTGCTAGCTACTAGTACTTCGGCTGCAGTAGTTAGCAGGAAAGCACCCGCTGGCTTTGTCACAACCAAAGGCAACGCCTTCAAACTAGACGGAAAAGATTTCTACTTCGCAGGTAGCAATGCCTATTACTTTCCGTTCAACGACGTCAGTATATTTCACTTCAGACTTGCCACACTTACTGAAACTCCACAGCTCCAATCCGATGTAGAGGCTGGCCTGGGTGCCGCGAAGAAGGCTGGACTCAACGTCTTCAGGACATGGGGCTTCAACGATCGCAACAGGACGACTCTCGCAAACGGACTACCACAGTACGGTGGCGAAGGTGCTGGTCCCAGTCCGAACGTCCTGCAATGGTGGAGCAACGGAACACAGGAGATCAACCTAGTACCGTTCGACAAAGTCGTCAAGGCTGCGGAGAAAACTGGCATGAAGCTCATCGTTGCTTTGACAAACAACTGGGCCGACTATGGTGGCATGGATGTCTACACGACCAACCTCGGCTATAAGTACCATGACGATGTAAGTCACACAGTCTTTGCCTACATGATCATAGACTAACATAACCTTCGTTAGTTCTATCATGTCCCAGCCATCAAGAAGGCGTACAAGAAGTACGTCAAGGAGATCGTCAAGCGCTACGCCAAGTCTTCAGCCATTATGGCGTGGGAGTTGGCGAACGAACCACGATGCGGTGCTGATGGTGTGCGCAACTTGCCGCGCAGCGAGAACTGCACCCCTGACATGATCACCGAATGGATCGATGAGATGAGCACATACGTCAAGTCACTCGACAAGGACCATCTTGTGACATGGGGTGGTGAAGGAGGGTTCAACAGGCCTAGTGACGATGGCTTCTACAATGGATACGATGGTGGCGACTACGACAAGGAGTTGGCGCTCAAGAACATCGACTTCGGTACCTTTCATACCTATCCCGATTGTACGTATATTTCATTCGACAGGCATCAACACTATCATTCTTTGAGCAATACTGACTAGACTTGCGATAGGGTGGTCCAAGAGCGTCGAATGGGCAAACCAATGGATCATCGATCACGCCGAAGCCTCCCGTGCCGTTGGAAAGCCAGTCGTACACGAAGAGTATGGATGGCTAACCGACGACAAGAGGCAAGAATACCTCAGCAAGACCTCGAACGTCACAAGACTTGAAGCTATCGGACTATGGCAGGCCACCAGCCTGAAGGAGAAGATGCCGGATATGTACTGGCAATTTGGCTATTCTGGCTACTCCTATGGAAGCAATCACGACGACGGATTTACGATCTTTCTGGAAGACGCGGAGGCCAAACAGCTTGTTTACGAGCATGCGAAGAAGGTCAATGCTTTGAACAAGAAGTGAGATGTTGCGCTGTCTGGTTTGGCTCGCGCTTGTCTCACAGCAAACAGTTAGTGCTGTATGTACTAGTGCTCTTTCCTCATGCAAAAGGTGTATGCTTGACAGGTAATGCGTCAGAACTGAATTGTGTCTTTATGCAAATTTGTTCGGTTTGCGGAGTGTTCCCACAATGTATATAGTCGAATTCTTTCACTGCCTCCCCACGCCACCCGTTATTTCGTTCGACATCGTGCACTGAAAAGGGTACAGCAACGTACTTCATTATTTCGAACTACACCAACGTGTTTCTTCGACCCTGCCAAGACGAATAGGTTGCACTCTTCTTCCGTGAGACTATACCACACTAGCTTCCACTACTACAGCCGCCTGAAGCTACACCAACCTAGGCCTATTATTTTACGCCTATTCTCAGACCATCTCACATACAGCCTCAAGTCAGCCACCCGATTCTGTCGACCATGTGCGGCTTCACATGCATTACATACAGCGAGTGCGCCCATACCGCGCTCTCAACGAAGCCCGAGCACACCTCTCTTTGCTTTAACGCGAAAGAAATACACTTGGTTCAAGGTGTCGACTGTGCACCCGCCAACTGTGTCCCGACTGACGACACAGAAACCCCGATTGCCGCCGAGAATACTATCTTTGATTACTGCGATGACTGCCGAGCCGAAGCACGCGCTGCTAAACCGATTGAGCGCGGTGAGATGGATGACATAGTGCAGGCTCGTGCACATGCAAAGGACGAGGACCTAGGCGTTTATGATGAAGAAGAGACTGAGCGACTGCGAAATCTGGCCACTTACCTCGAAGAGAAGCATGCTACTGGCCTGGAGGTTACTCAACAGCTCAAAACTTTGTCGTCAATTCCGACCATTCTTGCTCTCATCACAGACCCCGAGCTTCGCGCCCTTCTGTGCGCACCAGACGTGGAGAAGCACTTCACTACCTTCAAGTACTGTTCCGAACTCTTTCCAGTCATGGGCAGTTACATCCAGCAGCGCGCCCCAAACAAGCTGTTTGTGGAGACATTCGTATACCTGAGCGATAGAGCAAAGAAGGCAACGGCGTTGCTGGAATGTTTCCAAATCGTTCTCGAGTGCGTCCTCAACTATGAGCCGTCCCGACCGGAAGAGCACTTCAACGGTAGCGAAGCCCGATTAGAGTTCTTTGGCAATATGCTCAAGTGTATGGTTACTGGTAGGGATCTTGAAGTCCCTCCGATCGCCTTCCATTTTCACGAGAACAACTTTATCATTCCCAAAGCCACCCTTCAGCAGCTTGAACAGGATCAAGACGTGCCGCAAGCTTACACCGAGAAAAAGGAGAAGAACTCGGAGATGAAACCATCGCGGAAGGAGCGTGGCATTCTGAACATACACCACCTGGCGTTCGATCCTGAGTCACTGAAAGGACTATTGGACGACGAACCGTCCCGTAACTTCGAGGCAGTACATGTTGCGTTTCCGGAAGATGAGAATGCTGTGGGTATAGACGTGGAAGATGAGCAAGGTAACAAGCTCGTTTGGAAAGACGGGAAGCCGCACATCATGTTGGCTGTCATTGAAGCTGAAGACAAGACTACTGTCAAGGAGACAAATGAGCAACCGGCAAAGCCTTCAGATGAGCTTCAGGCTGCGCCAACGAAGACGACATATCAACCAGCAGGCGGCTTTGGTTTCGATTACTCAGATGATGAAGACGATACACTCGTTCAGACTGAAGAGGAAAGTAAGGCTATTGCGGTCAAGAGCAACGACATATCCTCAGACCCGTCTCCCTACCTATGCATACCCTCCTCCCCACCCGTATCGGCCGCAGAGTGTTCATTCCAGTCTCATTCATCCAGTACGTCTAATCCATCCTCACCATCCCTTCCAGCTCTTCCGAACAGACGCGAGAACGAAAGCGCGGAAGCAAGTCAACCCAACAGTGGCTCCTCCTCACCATCGTCTCGTAAGCGCAAGTCGTTATCAAGCGAGTCAAGCGAAGACGACAAAGGCATCAGCAATGACAAGGAAGAAGACAAACAACACTCCGACCCTCCCATGAAGCGAAGCTGCAGGACCAGTCTATCATCCGACTCTTCCTCTCGATCTGCAACGCCAATAGAGAAGTTGCGCACTTCCCCATCAGCACCAGCCTCACCCTTAGCAGACCTACCTCCTCTACCATCTTCGCCTGCATCTCCAGGTAGTTCGTCGTTGTCTTCTGTATCGTCTTATGTGGACTCCGCATCATCGTCTCGGTCGCCTCCTGCACCCCTTCCGCCGCAGCCAACGACGCCACAGCACCGCATGCAGACGCGTGCTATGACACGCAGTGCAAGTACCACACCAGCGCCTCCGGATGCGGCATCTACGAGAGCAACGCGTTCATCGAGGAAGTGATGGAAAGAACAGTGTCAGCATAAGAGACAGAGGGGCTGATGAGATGGATGAGACTTTGAGAGAACAAAGGAACAAAAGGGAACACAACTATATCCCAGGTAATTGCACGAGAGATATCGCAGTGGCTTGAGGTCTCGTGGATCAGTGTTGTTGCATAGGCTTTTGCGCGTCGCGTTCTGTCGACACTTATCGTGTGTTTTTGTTATGACTTGTTTCAAGACTATTCCATTCCTTTAGTCAACAAGAGTTCCCGGGTATGTAGTCTTGAAGGTTGTGACAAAATGCACAAATTCGGGTTGAAAAAGATCAGAACAGCTTTTGTGGGTATCAAACGACCTACTACGCCCCGACTAAACCATGCGCATGTATTAGATATGGTGTCGTACGCTCCACAATGACAAGCGTATGCAAGCGCGGCGAATGACATTAGAAGTTGCAGATATAGCTCATTCGGAGTCGTCACCCCCGCTGTCGCCGCTCTTATCATCCTCCTCGTCTTCCGATTCGCCCTGGACATCGTCATCATCATCGTCATCGTCGTCTTCGTTATCATCGCCGCCAGCCTCTTCCTCGCTATCGTCTTCCAGTACAACCTTCTGCTGTGGTACAGGTTTTGCTGCTGCCCTTCGGCTTGGTCGACCCGTAGCGGTGACTTCACTTGCCTTTCCCCACGCCGCTTCGCCCTCTTTGATTGCCTCGAGGTCTTTCGCAAACTCCCTCTGCTCCTTGATCTTGGCTGCCTTTTCAACCGAGTATTTGCCATCCATGCCCACGTCCTTCAGCCAGCCCTTGAGCACGCGGATCTTGTCCTTCGAGGTGTCGCACTGGGACAGTTCGGGGTCGCGCGACCAGACTTTTCGAATGCCGCACTTCACGAGCCAGCCTTGGAGTCGCTTGACTTCAGCGGTGTCGGGATCGTCCTCGGTCTTCGCTTTGGGCGCCGCTTTCGGTTTCGCCGGGGCCTTTTCCTTCTTGCCCTTTGCTGCAGCGACTTTCTTCTTCTTCTTGGGCTCTTCGTCTATGACGCTGGACAGATCACTGTCAGATACGTCGCCCTTTGTCTCTGCCTTCTTCGCTGGCTCGGGTTCGACGTCGCTCTCATCGTCAACCACAGCGCCAGGTCTGGATGTCGGCTTCGGCGAATCCTCCTCGTCCGAGTCTTCTGTCACAGTCTTCTTCCCCCGCCGTACTAACTTCTTGGGTGGCTCGCTCTCTGCATCGGATATCTCGGCGGGTGGTTCTGAGAGCTCAGCTTCGGACTCGGTCTTTGCGCGCTTCTTGGGTTTCTTGGCGGGTGCCGCAGCCTTGCGCTTGGTGCCTCTGGCATTCTCGGTGGCAGCTTTGGTCTTCTTCTCGGCGGGCTTCGCTTTGGGTTTCGGGGCGGCTTTTTTGGGAGAAGACTGTGGTGTAGGCTCATCGGAGCAGAACTTCTCCTACATATTTTTAGTACACGGTAAGGAATTGGAAGTCGGGCCTCATACCACTGCGTCTACAATGACTTTCTGTGATTGCTCTTTCCATGTCGAGTCTGTCTTGAAGAAGCCCTCGTCTAGGGCTAGTTCCTTCTCTGCGCGCGCCCGAACGCGCTTCACAGTCAGATCATCGCTTTTTCCAGATTTGTGGATCGCGATGACAATGTCGCGCAGTTTGTTTGAAATGGTCGCCTCAGAGGGCCGGTCTGCTTCGGAATCCGACATGATGGGCGGCGCGTTCGTAGATGGTGTTGATGATCGACGGCCGTACGCGATAGACGCGGCGGTTAGGGCAGGCACGTCGCCGGTAGCGTACACGTGACTCCGCGGAGAGATCCAATGGCGTCAAGTGGCATCAGGGCCTGCGGGGAATTTGTCGTGTCGAGCCACGGCGATGTATCAGTTGAATCGCATTCCTTCCTGCTGATTGCATGAATCGCATGGTATTGCCAATGCAGATGCCCATAGATGATGCTGGGCGCCGCCCTTTGACGTCGAGTTGGTCTGTGAGCGCCCCGCGTCTGCTGGGTTGGGCAGCTCCACGACCGACGTCACATTTATTCCCAAGTTTCACACAGACACCGCCAGCTTCATTCAGTGTTTTCCAACGCGGCCTACACCTGTCAGCGACCGAGCTGCATGCCGCCAGTCCCGACCGCCCCTAGCCCCAGTCATCTTCAACTTTAGCATCTGCCCGGGTTGTAACTGCGCCCTGCCGTCTGCCAACTCTGGCCGCTTGAGCTCGGAACCTGCGAGAAGCCGCCTCCACCTTCGAGCGGGCCTTGATCTATTATCATTCTTTCGTCACGCCAGCACCACAATTAAAATAACTGATCCCTCCCCCCTCGCGCCAAAGGAAACCTACCCACACCGCCTGCTCACCGGCCCCAGCCACGTTGCGGAGGTGAATGCTGACCTCGCCCAACATCCTACGCCGCAGATAAATTTCCTGTCAGGAGTGTCGCGACTCAACCACCTTACAACCCCCACTATCCAACATATCCACCGCCAAGATGTCTAACGCGCCCACAACCCTCAAGCAGCCCGAGTCGTCGGAGGGACGTCTGCTGCTCGTGTCGAATCGACTGCCCATCACCATCAAGCGCTCCGATGAGGGCAAGTACGACATGTCCATGTCCTCGGGAGGACTGGTCAGCGGTTTGAGCGGACTCTCCAAGACCACCACCTTCCAGTGGTATGGCTGGCCCGGACTTGAAGTCCCCGAGGACGAGACAAAGACTTTGAACGACCAGCTCAAGGAGAAGTACAACGCGGTACCTGTTATGCTCGACGATGAGCTCGCAGACAGGCATTACAACGGATTCTCAAGTGAGATTACCTATGTAGAACCATATCGCTGCCAGCACTAACAATTGTAGACGAGATCATGTGGCCGCTCTTCCACTACCACCCCGGTGAGATTACCTTCGACGAGTCCGCTTGGGACGCCTACACCGAGGCCAACCGCCTGTTCGCAAAGGCCGTCGCAAAGGACGTACAAGACAACGACATGGTCTGGGTGCACGACTACCACCTGATGCTCATGCCCGCCATGTTGCGCGAAGAGCTCGGCAACACGAAGAAGAATGTCAAGATTGGCTTCTTCTTGCACACACCTTTCCCCAGTTCCGAGATCTACCGAATCCTCCCCGTCCGCAATGAGATTCTGCTTGGCGTTCTCCACTGCGACCTCATTGGCTTCCACACATACGACTATGCTCGTCATTTCCTGAGCAGTTGCTCGCGCATTCTGTAGGTATCAGCCCAAGGGCAGAGTTCGCACTTGCTAACTCAGACCAGGGGACTTGCCACAACACCAAACGGAGTCGAGTTCAAGGGCAAGGTCGTTACTGTCGGCGCTTTCCCTATCGGTATCGATCCCGAGAAGTTCGACGAGGGTCTCCAGAAGCCCAAGGTACAAGAGCGGATAGCAGCCCTCGAGAAGAAGTTCCAGGGTGTGAAGCTCATCGTTGGTGTTGATCGCCTCGACTACATCAAGGGTGTACCACAGAAGCTGCACGCTCTCGAGGTGTTCCTCACAGAGCATCCCGAATGGATCGGCAAGGTCGTGCTTGTACAAGTCGCCGTTCCTTCTCGGCAAGACGTCGAGGAATACCAGAACCTCCGCGCAGTTGTCAATGAGCTTGTTGGTCGCATCAATGGCAAGTTCGGCACTATCGAGTTCATGCCTATCCACTTCATGCACAAGTCGGTCTCTTTCGACGAGCTTATTGCGCTCTACGCCGTCTCAGATGTCTGTCTCGTATCTTCGACACGCGACGGTATGAACCTGGTGTCCTACGAGTACATCGCGACACAGGAGAAGCGACACGGTGTCATGATCTTGTCCGAGTTCACTGGTGCTGCACAGAGCTTGAACGGCAGTCTTATCGTCAACCCATGGAACACCGAGGAGTTGGCAGATGCCATTCATGACGCAGTCACCATGGGCGATGAGCAACGTAGTCTAAACTACCAGAAGCTGTCCAAATACGTCCGGAAATACACTAGGTAAGTGCCCACGATCACATCTCGATCGACACGTTCTAACTTCACACAGCGCATGGTGGGGCGAGTCGTTTGTCACCGAACTTAGAAGGATCTCGGAGACGCCAGACCGCAAAGTACACTTCGCTAACGCTCCGGTTGCTGGAGTTGATGACTCTACAAAGACTGCTGGTGAGACGAGCTCAGAGCTACCGATCCGCCAGGAGACCGGCAACAAGGACAAAGAGTCAGACCCGGCCGCTGCTGTCGATGCTCAAAAGGAGATCGACGGCGCATCTAGCCGATAGGCGCTGTGCCCCACGGTGAGCACCTCTGATTATTACGACGGATGATTTCACGTGACGAAAGTTCGGCGTGATGGATTCGCTTGGGTTTGACGATTGATGAAGGTTCCGATTCTCAGTATCCCCTCAATTACTAGATCTTCTTACCTAGAAGCTGTAGTGGAAACATCACTGCAGTAACAATATACCCCCTCTACACACGACCTTGTTCTTTGCACTCTGATCGTAACTGTTTTGTTCCGCGAGTGAGTTCGTACCTTCGTGAGAAACAGGTATATGAGAGCGTGGGATGTTCCTGCCTACGAAGGTCACTGCCAAGCCATTAGCGCGTCATCATCCGCTGTCGCAAACCTCACGCGCAATTTCGCGTCTTCTGCGCCCCCAACCCCCATCACGCCGACAAGAAAACTTGCACCGGCAACTTCGGAAACGATTGGTAACGAGTTTGATTTCACGCGTCAATACGAATCAAGCCTCGATGTTGACGCGCAAAACACGGTCATGAGAAACCACAATGGAGCGACCCGCGTCTTTTATTAGAAGTCTGACTGCGTAGGTCTGACACTGACATGACCGAATCTCAGCAGTCGACTTAATCAGCACCGCCTATCTACCACTCAATTAGAGCGCCACTAAACTCACGCTCCACGAAGCCGACGGGAGCGTACGTGTGCGGCTGCTGCGCTAGCTCCGAGGAAACGCCAGACGCTCCTTCCAAATGGTACCAGTCCCCTCAAATACCGACATCCACTGCCATCCCAAACGCCAAGTCACTGCATGAACTACCACCCTCACTTCTGCTTGAACATCGCTGCCTCCCATCCGTACGCACGCGCTAGTCGACGTCCGTAGCGTCTGGCCAGAGTCAATGGCACTTCACCGCTCGGATGCGGCTCATGGAACTGGATTCCGCGTGGCAAATTCAGCTTCTTCGGTGTGAATTGCCATGCAGACCCGTGTAGCTTCTCGACGGCGAATCCAAGCTTGGCAAGCGTGGCTACGACTTGATCCCAGCGGACTTTACCCGGGGGTTCGCTGTCGTTTGGCACATGGAAAAGTGCTTTGATCACGATATAGGCGTCTTTGCCGACGTGATACAACGGTTTCGAAATTGCAGCCGATCGCTCAAGCACATCCTCATCGGCATCCTGGGCTATGGCTGTCATCTCGCCGTGCGTCTTCGCTTTGGTTCTATCCGTGACATCGAGGCGATTGAAATTCCCAGTGATCTCTTTGGTTGGGTCGTGGAAGATCTCGGATGTGGCCTGATACTCGTACACGGGAGACGGTGTTGATGCCGTGTCAAGATCTTCGGAGTCAATCCACGGAGCCGTTCTTAGCATCGGGCCACCTTTGTCCAAAAGTCTGCGAATGGTATCGTGTTGAGAATATCCTGTACGCTTGCGAAAAGCATTGTCGATGTACCTCCAAAACTTGTCCAGGTTGCGTTCCGCTTTTCGACGCGCTCCCACCGTCTGCTTTGTTCGGACGCTCTCACTCGGATAATCGAACCTGCCATTGGATGGATTACCAAGATCTGGGGCAATGACACCTCCATCGTCTAGAACCTTTCTCCAGCGCGCCAAAGGTTGCATAAATTTGAGATACCACTTGGCGTAAAGGGGGCCCTTTCGTCCACAATCGAAGTGATTCCTCAGCTTGACGTAGCAGGAAGACACTCGCAGTTGATGAAGACACTCAACGCACACTGAAAGTGTATTCAGATAGTCCTCTATGAATGGCGAGACTTTCTCTTTGGCGGAAGGCTCTCGCCTAAAGTACGTTTCAAGGCAATCTAGATTGAGATGGGAGTAGTCGACGACCTGAGTGAAGGCGGTCGCCCGGGTCAAGAGCTTCCTCACGCGCTGTCCGATGATATCGTTACTATCCACTTCTGTGGTTCTGTAATCAGATTCACCTTCGAGCACGTTGTCGCATCCTGCTGGTATGGTGTACCTCATCATGAGATGCCGTAACTGTGGTGCTCCCATCAAGAAGTGCCTGATGAGACCCGCCGCGTCGTAACTACCTAGACTCAACATGTAGTACAACATCTCCACACTATCCGAATAGCGCTTGATAAGCTCTTCGCTTGCTTCCACACGCAAACTCAGTGTGTGAAGAACTTCGACTTCGCTTGAAAGTCGGTAAAGCTGATCCCAGAAGACCAGGCACGCATACGCCTTGTTCAAGATCTCACGGAGGATCAGAGAGTAGAACTCGCTTGTTCCAAGTCTCTTCGATGGTTCTCCGGCTTCGTTCAGTATGTTTTCATGTCGATGTTCGGCGTGATCTTGAACATACTCTGCGAAATACGCAGGATCTTCGCGCAAAGCCCAGGCATGGTCCTCGCACTTTTCCACTGCTGTCGAGATCAGGTGGCGGATACGTGCGAAGTTTGGCTCGCCTCGCGGACCAAATGGCGCCTTTCTG